GTTAGGATGTGTAACTAACCTGAGGGTGTATAGGCAAGTCTCGGGTATTCTGGATGCTTCCTTTTGAAGATACGTAGTGTGGAATCACTGGGGGAATAGAGGCTGTGACTGCATCAGGCCACCTGATTTAGCCAAGCCAGGTCATTGGTCGACACCCTTCCCTGAGACGATCTCTGTCCAAACCCACATGCACTCTGTCTCTCTCTCCTGCCTTGCCTCTGGCCATATACCCGCCGCGCCTACCTGAGGGTGACCAGCTGTCCCAGTTGTAGCACTGAAAGTTTCTAATCCCAGGGACCCGCCAGTCCTGGAAAAGTAGGACAGTTGGTCACCCTGTCCCCCTGCCAGCCCTCCTACCCCATGCATACACAGCCAGCATGAAAACACCTGCAGCTTCTGAAACAGCCTGATTCCCTTCCTGACCACCTCCTCTGCCTTCAAGGTGATGCTTCACTCTTCTGTAAAACTATCATCTGATCCCCTCTCCTCCTAGGGCACCAGGGCCTTGCTCTGAGGATTCTACTCTGCCCTGGCTCATAAGCTGCTCACCCCGCCTCCCTGTAACTGTCTCCTCCTTGCCTCTTGTCCGTCTTACCCGCTAGATTGGAAGCTCCTCCTGGGCAGGGATTTGGAGAAGCCTGGATGCCAAAGACTGCCAACCACAGGACGGAATAAAGAGGGCTGGCCATCAGAAATAGGTGAAGGGTATTAAGAGGTACAAAGACCCATAGTCAATAATATTGTAATCATTGCCACCTTTGTACAGTGACAGATGGTGACTACCCTTACCCTGGTGAGCGTGGCATAATGTGCAGAACTGTTGAATCGCTATGAAATTAATATAATATTGCATGTCAACTGTACTTCAACAAGTCTCCTCTGGAAAAAAAAAAAGGAAAGAAAGACTCCCTTCACTCGCAGTTGTCTGCCTTGTCCTCTGGCCGCAACGCAGACAAGGTACGCATGAACACAACTGGCTAGTTTATAGTCCTGAAATAAATAAAGTATGTATTAAGTGATACATAAAGCAAAAGTCAGTTTCCCTTCTACTTCTCACTCCATGTCTCCTTCTCAGACAAAACCACCGTTAACCAATTTCTTGTGTATCCTTTCAGAGATAGATTACACAAAGGCAAACAGAACTTTAAACCCATATACTCCTGCGCACACACAAATAGGAACATAGTGTATCGCTCTTTTTTCTTTGTTGAACGTACATCTTGGCTGTTGTTCCGTTTCAGTTCATCATACAGATCTGCATGACCCTCATTTCTAACAACTCCCATTTCCTAAGAAGCGTCCGTCCGAAAACTCCAGAGCCCGTCCGTCACCTTCCCCATTGACGTGCCCTTTTCAGCACACCCTGTGCTTGTCATTTCTGACCGTAGTTCTAATGGATTACATTTTTCGTTTTGACATTTAATCAGGTACCTAAGCCTGGATTCTGCCCTAGGCTGGTAGAATGTGCTTCAGAATCATCCGGAAGGTTGTCCGGATTGCCGGACAACCTGAAGAGTTCCTGATTCAGTAGCTCAGAGGTGGAGGTGGGGCTTGTGAATTCGCATTTGCAACAGGTTCTCAGGTGGCGCAGAAGCTGCTGGTCCAGGACCCCCACTTTGAGAACTGTGAGCTCTGAAAGGGGAGTCACAGGGATGTGTTATTCGCTAAACTAAGCCCAGTGCCTGGCTCATAGCAGATAGGCGGTCAATAAATATTTGTCGAACAGAAAATAAATTAAAGCACGCTTGCACCCTGACTTTGACACTTTGTATGCATTGGTTTGGGGTGGAGCCTCGGCTGTCTTGCTAAAGAAAATTTGAAAAAGCTACAGAGTAAACCAGAGGTGGAGCCTCCAGCTCAGCTAGTCAGACAGGTTGGCCCACCCTGTCCTCTCCCTGCCCCCCAGGATCTAACCTCTGATGCCACCAACGCTCCATATCTGATCCCGATCCCTGTTCTTAGAGATAGGGGGAGTTTCGAACATGACCGCTTCTGTCTTTCTTCCTCATTGTCCTGGTGAGCAAACTGGGGAGGCTGAGAGGTGAACTGGCTCGCCTAGTGTCACATTGCACTTTTGATGGCAGAGCAGAGGCTCGCTCAGCCAGCCAGAGACTTGGCGGTCCTGAGGCATTCCATGCCACAGATAGAGCCAGAATGGGATTCTTCCTCCAGAGAAATCTTGTAGTCTTGCATGAAATGTCACACAGACTCATCGTTTGTTTATTTAAGAAAGAGAGAGAGAGAGGAAGGAAGGAAGGCAGGAAGGCAGGAAGGAAGACAGGAAGGCAGGAAGGCAGGAAGGCAGGAAGGAAGGAAGGGTAAGATTTATTGCATACCTACCTGTCAGAGACTGTTTTGTGTACTGGGCATGCAGTGATTAACAGAACAAAGTTCCTGCCTTCATAGAACTTCCTTTTGAGGAAGGGGTGCAGACAACAAACAGAAGTAAGTAAATAATTTTAGACAGTGAGGATTGAGTGCAAAGAAGACGGAAAAACAGTCCAAAGTCAGAGGGTACATGTATGGGCCATTACCAATTGGTTCTGGGCAGAGCTGAAGGGTTTTTGCTCTGGTAAGTAGCTCTGCTGGCTTCTGGAAAGTTCCTAAGGAGAGATGCTTCAAGACGTGGAGTCTGATGATCAGGACAGAAATCAACAAGGCTAGATTATGAGGGAGAAGCTTCTGCTTTACCAGGTGTTCCTTTTCCTGGGTGTCGTATAAAGAGTGATGCCTCCAGAGCCAAAGAGCCCTGGGTTTAGATCCTGTCTGTCACCTTTCAGCTGCATGAACTGGAGACAGTCTTTTACCTTTGGAGCCTCACTTTTTCCGTCTGTAAAATGGGAAACAGTGGAAAGCACTAATGCTTGAAGCCAGAGGAGTAGGTTGGAGTCAAGTTTCTACTAGATCCAACTAGTGACGCCGTCTGAATGCTTAGACTTGCGTGAGCCTCGGAAAATTCATTCATTCACTCAAACAAAAAAAAAGGATCTATTCTTCTGAGCCTCAGCAAATTCATTTGAAGGAAGAGGAAGAGGAAGAAGAAGAAGGAGAAGAAGAAGAAGAAGAAGAAGAAGAAGAAGAAGAAGAAGAGGAGGAGAGGAAGGAGAATGATCTTTAAAATAGGCATGCTAATTGACATTTCACTGGGATGTTGTAAACGTTATGGAAATCCATACATGGGAAGTTCATTTATAGACTCCGCGTTCAGAAAATAGCCGCTTCCGTATTATATGTTCTCAAAAGTCGGAAGTGTCTCTCCTCCCCATTCCACCCCCCAAGTTTCCCAAAGTCTCTTATGTCTTTACATTTGCTTCTACTCAATCCACCGGGCAGTGGACATTCAGAGTTGGAATAAGTCAAGGGAGACCTGAAAGCAGGAGGGCAAGTGCCTGAGTGAATTAGAAGAGAAATGGCGTAGATCCGCATCCGAGCCTGGTGTCGTGGAAATATCACACTGGCCTTGGAGTCAGACACACCTGGAGGGGAGTCCCAGGTCATCCCTCGTTGGCCACGTGACCTTGGGACAGGCCTATCACCCCTTTGAGCCTCCACGTCCTCATCTGACAAACAGAAAACCCGGTTCCTGAATCTTAGCTGGCATTACTGTGTGCGCCCACTAGAGGAAGTGATGAAGGTGGTAACCTTGAGAAAGATGGTGATAATGGTAACAGCAACAACTCACACATGTGTTGATTGCTTGCCCTGTACAGGCACTGATCTGTATGACGTATGTGCTTTATGCTACTTAACCTTCATAACGACCTTATGAGATAATGACTATCGGCCCCATTTTGGGCAAGGAAACAGGCAAAAAGGAGCCAAAAAGCCTTCCAGAGCCACACAGCTGGCAGAGCGGGATTCCAGCTGTGACCGTCAGCTCTAGAGCCCGTACTTTGAACTTACTGTTCTGTGTTGCATGAACGTAAAACCCGGGATGTCCGAGGAATTCAGTACAGGGTAGCTATACTTACCATTCTCATTGGCGTTGTTCCTCAGCCCACGGGTAATTTTATCACATGCCTCGTTGCCACTGCTCTTGGGAGGGCCCCGGGACAATGCCTGGCCAGCGTGCTGGTGGCTAACAGCGTCCTTGTCTCTGTGTGTCAGGCCTCAAGGGACAGCCTTTGCTTTTATTTTGGGACTTAGATTTTTAAGGCCAAGCCTCTGAGCCACGGGATTTTCACAGGTATGTAGATTACAGCCTTTAACTAGCTTTATTGGAAGGGGGGACCTCGGGGCACCTGGGTGGCTCAGTGGGTTAAGTGTCCGGCTTTGGCTCAGGTCATGATTTCACAGTTTGTGGGTTCAAGCCCTGTGTCAGGCTCTGTGCTGACAGCTCAGAGCCTGGAGCCTGCTTCCGATGCTGTGTCTCCCTCCCCCTCCCCTGCTCATGCTCTGTCTCTGTCTCAAAAATAAAGAACCATAAAAAAAAAAATTAAAAATAAAAGTGGAACCTCATCTTAGGGATCAGGAGACCATGGTTTTTCCTACCGATTGTAAACTCTCAGATGTTTTTCCATTTCTGGAAGGATGGAGTGAGGTAAGCGAATGCTTCTGTTGTCTGTGACTGACATTACATGACCTTCCCACAACTCCCCATTACAGTTTTTGAATTGCTTGAATCAAATAAAATGATTTTAGCACAAAGGTATGCCTATTAATCATACTCTGTTTCTGTATCTTTTATTTTCTGTCTTAGATTTTTATTGGGTGTGTTTACCAGGAAACTACTTCAACTTCTTGCGAGTCAAGGAGTCATGAGTCTTCCTTGGGCAGAGCAGCGTGTGTTAAAAATGTTGAAATCTGGTATGGTACCCCTCAACTGCTTTGTTCACCCAGAAAGAGGCTTTTGAGGAAAGGACATGAGTGGTGTGGAAAGGGAACTTTGGAGCCCCACATACTTCAGACATCACTCACTTGCTACATGTTGATTCTCTTTCGAGCTCGGTGTCTTTGTATTAGCTAGCTATTGCTGCATAACAAACTACCCCAAAACTTAGTAGCCTAAAATGACAATATTTATTATTTATAGTTTCTGTGGGTCAGGAATCTGGGCACAGTTAAGCTCAGCCCTGCTTCAGGGTCTGGTCCAGGCTGTGATCAAGGTGTTGGTCAGGGCTATAGTCCCATTAACTTTTAACCGGAGAAGAATCTGCTTCTAAGCTCCCCTATGTGGCCAGTGGAAGGATTCAGTTTCTTGCAGGTTGTAGTATGGAGGGCCCCAATTCTTTGCTGGTGGTTGGCTGGAGGCCACCCTCAGTTCCCTGCCACATGGACCTTTCCAACAGCGCAGCAAGCTTCCTCAGAGCAAGCAAGAGAGCATAAAATCAAAGACACACTCTTTTATCATCCGTATCTCAGAAATCACCCCACATCACTTTGTTTGATCTTGTTTCGTTTTTGTTATCGTTGCTGTTGTTCCTGTGACTCTCTTCTTGTTCTGCTGTCTTTTTTTATGTTTACTTTTTTTACATTTTTAATTGTGGCAAAACACACATAAATAACATAAAATTGGCCATCGTATCCACTTTTACGAGTACTGTTTGGTATTAAGTACATTCACACTGTTGTGCAACCAATCTCCAGAACTCTTTCATCTTGCAAAACTAAAATTATACCCATTAAACAATGTCCCAACCCCACCTCTCCCAGCCCCCGGCAACCACCATTCTCCTTTCTCTTTTTATGAATTTCGCTACTCTAGCTACCTCATACAAGTGGAATCCTGCAGTATTTTGTTTTCATGAAAGCCTTATTTCGCTCACCATAGTGTCCTCGAGGTTCATCTGTGTCGTAGCATGTGTCCTTTCCTTCCTTTGTAGATTGGGTAAGATTCCACTGTCGGTATATAAGCATATCGTGTTTATCCATTCGTCCCTTGACGGACGCTTTGACTGCATTCCCCTTCTGGCTGTTGTAAATAATGCTACTATAAACACGGGTATACAAATATCTCTTTGAGTACCTACCTTCAATTCTTTTGGGTATATACCCATACGTGGAATTGTTAGATCATATGGAAATTCTATTTGTAATTTAAAAAAAAAATTTTTTTTCAACGGTTTTTATTTATTTCTGGGACAGAGAGAGACAGAGCATGAATGGGGGAGGGGCAGAGAGAGAGGGAGACACAGAATCGGAAACAGGCTCCAGGCTCCGAGCCATCAGCCCAGAGCCCGACGCGGGGCTCGAACTCACGGACCGGGAGATCGTGACCTGGCTGAAGTCGGACGCTTAACCGACTGCGCCACCCAGGCGCCCCTCTATTTGTAATTTTTGGGGGAACTGTCATACTGTTTCTCTCAGCAGCCACGCCATTTGACATTCCCATCGACAGAGCACAAGGGTTCCGATTTCTCCACATTCTTGCCATCGACACTTGGTATTTTCTTTTTCTTTTTCCTTTATTATTATTAAAAAATGCTTATTTATTTATTTTTGAGAGAGAGAAGGCACCTGTGTGGTAAGTGGGGGAGGGGCAGAGAGAGATGGAGAGAGAGAATCCCAAGCTGACAGTGCGGAGCCCGACATGGGACTCCATCCCACGGACCACAAGATCGTGACCTGAACTGAAACCAAGAGTTGGAAGCTTAATCAACTGAGCCACCCAAGATCCTCTTTTTTTTCCTTTATTTAAAAAAAATATATAGTAGCCATTTTAATGGATGTGAAATGGTATCTCAGTAAGGTTTTTATTTGCATTTCTCTAATAATTAGTGATAGCATTTTTCTCGTGTTTAGTGGCAATTTATTTTCTTTAGAGGAATGTTTATTCAAGTCCTTCGCTCATGTTTTAATTGAGTTGCTTGTGTTTTGTTGTCGAGTTGAAAAAATTCTTTGTCCATCCTGGATATTAACCTCTGATCAGATATGTGACTTGCAAATATTTTGTCTCATGTTACTTGTTGATTGGGTCCTTTGAGGCACAGAGGTTTTCAATGTGATGCAGTCCAGTGTGATGTCACCTGTGCTTTTGGTGTCTTATCCAAAAAATGATCACCAAGTACAATGGCATGAAACTTTTCCTCTATGTTTTCTCCAAGAAGATTATAGCTTGAGGTCTTCTGTGTAGGTCTTCGTTCCATTTTGAGTTTATTTTTGTAATGGTGTAAGGGAAGGGTCCAAGTTCATCCTTTTGCACATGGATATCCAGTTTTGCCAGCACCATTTGTTGAAAAGGTTGTTCTTTCCCACTGAATGGTTTTGGCATCCTTGTCAACATCATTTAACCATATAAGCAAGGTTTATTTCTGGGCTGGCCATTTTATATGCCTGTACCCACACTGTTTTCATTACTGTAGTTTTGTGATAAGTTTTCAATTCAGGAAGTGTGAAACTTTCACGTTTGTTTCTCTTTTGTTCAAGATTGTTTGGGCTATCCGGATTTCCTTGACATTCTGTGTGAATTTTAGGATGGGTTTTTTCTACTTCTGCCAAAAAAGTTGTTAGGATTTTGCTAAGGACTGCATTGAATCTGTAGGTCGCTAATTTTGACATCTTAACGTTATTAAGTCTTCCAACCCACGAGTATGGGATGTCTTTCCATTTATTTTTGTCATCTTTAGTTCCTTTCAGCAATGTTTTCCAGTTTTCACCATACAGGTCTTTTACTTCTTTGGTTAAGTTCATTCCATTCTTTTTGATGCTATTGTGAATGAAACTGTTTTCTTACTTTCCTTTTTGGAATGTTCATTGTTTGTCTATATAAACACAACTGGTTGATTTTATATCCTGCAACTTTGCTGAATTCATGTATTAGCTTTAACAGGATTTGTGTGTGTGTGTGTGTGTGTGTGTGTGTGTGTGTGTGTGATCTTTAGGGTTTTCCATGTATTAGATCATGCCATCTGTGAGCAGAGATAATGTTTCCTTTTCTTTCTTTCTTTCTTTCTTTCTTTCTTTCTTTCTTCCTTTCTTTCTTTCTTTTTTTCTTTCTTTCACCTTCCTTCCTTCCTTCCTTCCACTTGATTGTTCTGGCCAGGACTTCCTGTACTATTTTGAAAAGAAGTGGTAAAGTGGGCATACCTGTCTAGAACCGATCTTAGAGGAAAACCTTTTAGTCTTTCACCATTATGTGTCATGTTGGCTGTGGGTTTCTCATGTATGGTCTTTTTGATGTTGAGGTGATATTCTTTTATTCCTAGCTTGTTGGGTGCTTTTTTATTTCATGAAAGAGTATGGGATTTTATTAAGTGATTTTTCTGCATCAGTTGTGATGATCCTGTGGGTTCCCCCCCCGCAATCATTCTGTTAATATGATGTATTCCATTGATTGATATTTTTTTGTGTTGAACCATCCTTGAATTCCAGGAATAAATCCCACTTGGTCATGGTGTGTAATCCTTTTAACGTGTCATTGAATTCTGTCTGCCAGTGTTTTATTTTGAGGATTTTTGCATCAATATTCATCAGGGATATTGGTCTGTAGTTTTCTTAGTGTCTTTGTCTGTCATTGGTATCAGGACAATGCTGGCTTTATGGAATGACTTTGAAAGTGTTCCCTCCCCTTCAATTTTATGGAGGGTTTGAGAATTGATGTTCATTCTTCTTTAAATTTTTGGTAGAATTCACCAGTAAAGCCATCTGGCCCTGGGCTTCTCTTCTTTGGAAGGGATTTGATTACTGAGTCAATGTACTGACATCCTTCCATATTTGCCATATTCTGCTTGTTGGAAGCAAGTCACTAGGCTCAGACCACCCTTACGGGGAAGCGATTACCAGGAGAGGAGAATGATTTGGGCCACCTCAGTCCTCCCCTGTAAAATGGAGCTATTCCCAATCAATTGGTTAAAGAAGATGTGTAGGGCATCCCTTCACTGTGCTTCGTGTCTCAGAATTACCTGGTAGTTTGTACTCCCAGTTGACTGATTTCAAGATGCAGCCTAGATTTATGGTAAATGGAAACTTTGTGCATCTTTGTATAAGATTCATACTTTGACAAAACTTCCCATTTCCCTCAAATCAATGAAATTTAATAGGACTTTTAGTCATACTCTGTGATATGTTCTCAGTCTCAAGAAATTAACAGGATAAACATCTTGGTCATGGTTTTGTGATCGTAATTTTTACACCAGCTATCATCCCTGACCCGTTAACTCTGAGTACACTGCTCCTATATGATCATGGCCACCATACACTTTTTTTCCCATGGTGCTTGTCCAAGGACTGTGTTATCTGTTTCAAGTGTTTCTCTTTTGCTGGATGGTAAGCTGAGGCTAGAAATGATATCTTTTTTTCCCTCCTCTGTATTCCCAGCAGTGCTGAGTACAAAATCGGCCCTCAATAGAGATTTATTACATGAAAGTATACGAATGTATGAGTGAATAAATACTGCCATCCTCCTGCTAGCCTTGAAGGCTCTGACCCAGTCTACACATCCAGTGTCCAGCCCATGCCTGACCAGCGTAGAAGATCAATAAACATCACGGATTGAAGAAAAGAATGGCAGCGTAACATCTCCTATCAGCTATTGTAACCACTGGACAACAATGGAAAGATGATTTGCCATCTGCTCAAAGGAGTCATATCCTGGAGATGTCATCTCTGTAGTGTCCTTATCCTAGGAGCCAGAGTCTCCTCTCCTTAAATCACTTGAGTACAATAAAAAGAAAGTCATTTGCAGGTGGATTGCCCCAGAAGCCAATTTGGAGACAGGGTTCTGAGTTCAAGTGGCTTATTTGGGACAGGATCCCAGGAAACGCAATTGGAGGCGCACAGCAGAGAGCCAGGAAAGGACAGGATTTAGCACAGCTCACATTAATGAACCGATGGCTGAACTGGGCACCTGAGTACAGCCTCGCAGCGGACCTCTGTGAGGTTGACGACTCAGAGCTGCCCCCTCCCCATGAGTAGCATGCGAGGTGTGATATTTACGCCAGCTCCCCATCTCAATGTTTGGGGTTGCACACTGTCTGGCATTTCGGCCCGTCCTGTGATAGAACAGCAAGCTTCTGCAGCCAACGAGTCCTCAGGGAAGGGTCCCCAGTCTTGTAGGAAGAAGCCAAGAGGATGCTGAGCGCCGAGGAGATTGACAGTGGTAGCACCTGGTGCAAAGAGTTGAAATTACATTTACGAACCTGGACCTGAGACCTGATTTTGTCCTCTGCTAGCAAGGCAAGTCCCTCCAAACTCACCAGTCCTCGGTGTGTCCTTCTAGAAAGTCCTCTTCTGCTCCAAAAGCACCGGGACTTCATTCTTCCTTGAAGACGTGTGGCTCGGGACTGCCGACAGCATTCTTTGTCAGAGCTCAGCTTCTAGAGTGTCTGTGTCGGCAGGCTTCCTTCCATTTTTCTGTTCATGTTTCACACCAGTCATGGGAGCCGAGGTTCTGGGATCAGGTTGCTCTTTGCAGCTGATCTGTGCATGTCTGACCACAAGGATGATTCACATTATACCCTAATGTGGTGTTTATATCATTTGATGCTTTGATTACTTTGTTCGAAGTGATCTCATTTGTTTATGAGCATCTGTTAAGTCCCCAGCCGCCACCCCCCTTCGCCGCCGCCCAGAAAGTCCCTGCTCTCCATTCTTTGGGCAACGCGTTCTGCAGACAGTTACGTCCTCTGCTGCTGCAATAGCCCAGGCGGGCTAAGATGGTCTCGCCGGCTTGCTGTCGTTCCTAACAAACGCCGGGGAGGAGAAAGCAACAAGGCAAAGGCAACAAAGTTTTGGCCCTTTTGACACAGACTGAGTGTGTGCAGATGCCGCGTTACAACATTTGTCTTCCCTCTTTGCTGTTAACTCTCACTCTTCCACCCACATCTTCATCTCCACTCTTGTTTTTAATGTTTATTTTTCAGAGAGAGGGGTGGGGGGGGAGGGACAGAGAGAGAGGGAGACAGAGAATCCGAGGCAGGCTCCGCAACGTCAGCGCAGAGCCCGATGTGGGGCTCAAACTCATGAACCACGAGATCGTGACCCGAGCCCAAGTCAAATGCTTAACCACGGGCCACTCAGGCGCCCCTTCATCACCACCCTTTCGGGACCAGATCCCGTGGGATGTGAATAAGTGGATCAGGGAGGAAAAATGCATCCATGGCCACTGAGATTGGGAGAAGGCTGGCATCAGCAGAGTCAAAAGGTGTCTTTGCTGCTGGACTTCTCAGAGTCTCGAACGTGCTAAGGCATCCCGTGATTCTCGGTGAGGATGGGGTGAGCAGCATTTCCAAAAGGAATATGACCGCACAGCGCTTGCTGTTGGCTAAAGAAAGGCTCTGCAGAACTAAGCTCTGGAAATGCTTTGCTGGATCACGCGTTTGCCATGGAGCTAAAAACGACCGATAATTCAGAAGCCTTCGGCGGTCTGCAAGAACTCAGTGGCGAACCAGGCTTCTGACACAGCCGCGGCAACCCCCTTGCCTCTCAGTTACCGAGCACCTGCTGTGCGCTGGGTGCCTTACCATAGGTCAACAGCTTTGCGAGGGAAGGCGGACGTGACGCCACCGTCAAGGAAAAGGCTTCTTGGTAAGGCATCTGGAGAGTCAGGGAAGGTCACGGAGGGGTGGGCAGGACCCACACCCCGAACCTGCCCTCAGCACCAGGACTGGCTGCATAACTGACAGGGCCCGGTGCAAAATAAAAAGTGAGGGGGCTCTTGATCAAAAATGACTAAGAAGTTGAAGACGATAACAGAGCGTTGCACCTGGGGCCCTTCTGGTTTTTGCGCAGGTCCCTTGCTTATGAAGTCAGTCATGCACGGCATGTATCTGTGGCAGGAGCAGCAGCCCTGGCCCAGCCGCCGGGTCATGTCTCCTGTCCCCTTCTCCTCCCCCCCCCCCCCCACCAGGCACTGCTCAGAGACAGGCTTTCTCCCATTCTGCCTCGGCAGGAAGCTCCTTCTGCCAGCTCTTAATGAATCAGCGGCTGAATAAGCAACGAGCCTAGAGATTACTCAGAGGCAGTATGGAATAGAGGCAAGGGACTGGAGGTTCAAATCCTGGCTTTTTGCCCCTTATCTCTCCATGACGTTGATCAATTTCACGTTCGGTTTCTGCGGCTCAGAACCCGGCTTTAGAAAGAGGGGCTGGCAATAATGCCTGCTCCGGACAAGGGATGGTGTAGAGCCAAGGAGGGTAATTCCATCCTTTACGCACCCTCTGCAGAGGAGCCTGAGCAGGTGTAAGATTTCGCATTTCCCCCCTTGGAGGCTGCTGGCCACTCCTCTCATTTATTTACTTACCCATTCGTTCAGCCAGTGTGTGGAGGGTAGGTAGGAACGGATTAGGCAGAGAAGAAGGAGAAAGGCACTCCAGGAGGACCATAGCTTGCGACACCCTCCGTGACTGTAGCCATATAGCACACGGGTGGGGGGAAGAGCTGAGGTCCCAACCCAGACAGGCTCGCACCGCACCTCGCTGCCTCCGGTGCCTGGAGAAACTCGGCTGCCGAGAAGAAGGAAGTTAATGGTAAACAAGGGCTGTTGGGTTGTCTGCGGATCTTAATCATCCTTATATCCCCACTGCACAGAAGCCCAAATAATTGACCATGGGCCAAAAACCAACTTCAGGAGGCTGTCCACCCAGAGCCGTCAACCATCTCCAGCAATTAGGCTCAGCGTGACAGTTGCTTCTGAGACAAGGAGCCGAGTGAATGGAATTAATCTCCCCGATTTAAATCCATTAGTGCCTGTGATAGACTGGTTCAGGCATTTAAGAGCCACTTCATCTCACCCGGTCATGCCCACAGGGTCACACGCTGACTCACAGTTAATAGTGGGGAAGGCTTTAATGGAGGGGAAGCTTTGAAGAAGGGCAGGGTGTGTTCCAAAGCTTGAAGGTTTAATGCATTTTTAATTAAATGTGCTTTAATAGGATTCAGCACCAACTATCATGTCACTGCAGATAGATTCATTATATTTGTTCAGTTAATTACGCGTGTGTTATTACCCAAGTGTAAACTTAGGTGACCTGGAAAGAAGCTTGACTTCGAGGGACACCCAAGAGTTCTGCTGGTCCTTTCAGGATTAGATTAAATAGTTCCCCACCCTGCGGTCCCCATATTTACTCTTGTGTGCCCACGCCCATACCCACACATGCGGGCACATGTGGTTACACTCTGGCAGCCAGGCACATGCGTAGACGTTCCCTCTCTCTCCTCCTCTCTTCTTTCAAAGAGAAACGGTTGGTAGGAGATCTCAAAGCTAGGAAAAAAGCATTCCCAGATCGGGCCCCGTCCTGTTATCAGCTTCGCACGAGGTGCTGAATATTCCTGAGCCTGAGCGTCCCTCTTCTGTAAAGCGACAGTGACAGCAAGATTAATAGCGAGGACCCCCCCCCCCCCAGCACTGCTGTAGGTTCCCAGGACGTGATACCCACAGAGCCCTTTGTGAGATGCCGAGAGCCATGCACCTCCTCCTTATTGCTGGCGGTTGTAACCAATCCTTCTAGAAGGCGCCCCGTCAGGGCTCCATTCTATACGCTCAGGGCACGGGATCCCTTGCTGTACCCTGAGTGTTCACATGCTGAAGCAGGACCTTGTGTACTCACTCAGCAGGCGTGCACCGAGCACCCTTACCTAGGACTTCCTGAGGACCTACTATGCGCCCAGCGCAGGGTCCCTGACTTCCACGTGTTTCTCATACATGATTGCTTCTTACCAGGTGACGATCTACACATTATAGATGGGAAACCAAAGGTTACATAATGGATCTATTTAATACAGTTTGTTTGATTCTTATCACGTGCCAGGCGTTATGCCCCAGGGGCAGGGGCATAAGAGGAAAATGCAACAGATGTGGCCCTTGCCCTGGTGCACCTTTCTGCACAGGAAGCTTTCAAGAGCTCACCGGGAAGCGCTTCCATGCCTGGGCCCTTGGTTTCCTCTCCAGTCACATCACAATGTACCAGACCGTGAATCTTGACATGTGGTGGCTCGGATGGTTCCAAGTTTGGGGCATGGCGGCGGTGGCTGGGGGCCCGGGAATGGGGTTCAACATATGGGAAGGAGACCCTCAGAGACGTCCAGGGTAAACCTCTCAGCCTTAGGTGTGCTTACCGCACTCCTGGGTGGGGGGGAGGGATGATCTTATTCAAATGCAGATGATGATTCAGTAGGGTTGGGGGTGGTGGGGTGTCATTTAATTTTATGTGCCACCTTGGTTAGGCCATGGTACCCAGGTATTTAGTGAAACACCAGTCTAGATGTCACTGTGAAGGTTTTTGGTAGGTGGGATTAACCATGAAATCAGTGGACTTTGAGTAAAGCAGATTATCCTCTATGACGTGGGTGGGCCTCACACAATCAGTCGAAGCCTTGAGAGAAAGAACGGAGGTACCCGGAGGAAGAAGGAATTCTCCAGAAAAGCTGCAATGTCAACTCTTTCCTGCGTCTGCTGCCTAAAAAAATGCCCTGCAGATTTTGGACTTGCCAGCCCTCACTATTACATGAGCCAATTCCTTAAAATATTTCTTCCTCTCTCTCCCTGTCATAACTCCCTATATCTATTATATATTTGAACTTCAATAATATAATTTTATTTTAATTAATTTAACATTTTACGGATATGTAAGAAAGGCAAGTTAATTTTAGGAATGTATTTGATTTAACAGAAAATATCCTAACTGGTGTGATTTGTGTCATTGATAGAAACATCTGTGAATGAGATCTAGAGACACGTACATAGCTATCTATGTATATACTGTATAGATACCCTGTGCATATAAGATACAGCTACTTTGCATATGTCTATGACCATTCTGTTTCTCAGGAGAGCCCTGCCTGATACAAGGAATGGGAGTCTACATTTCTTCCAAGCTCCCAGGACGTGCCAGTCCTACTGGTCTGTGAACCGGACTCTGATTAAGGTCAGTGGCTCCGTCGGTGAAGTATTTGGCTCTTGGTTTCTGCTCACGGCATGATCTCACAGTTCGTGGGATCGAGCCCTGCTTCAGGGTCCGCGCTGACGGCAGGGACCCTGCTTGGGATTCTCTCTCCCTCTCTCTCTGCCCCTCCCTCACCCCAATATAAATCAATAAACTTCATTTTATTTTATTTTTATTATTTTTTTTTCACATCTATTCATTTTTGGAAGGCAGAGAGAGACAGAGTGCGAATGGGGGAGGGGCAGAGAGAGAGGGAGACACAGAAACAGAAGCAGGTTCCAGGCTCTATCAGCACAGAGCCCGACGCCGGGCTCGAACTCCCGGACCGCGAGATCACGACCTGAGCCGAGGTCGGCCGCTCAACCAACCGAGCCACCCAGGCGCCCCATAAATAAACTTTAAAAAAAGCAAAGAACAGAAGCCACAGATGTTATTTTAAATTTTCCAGCAGCCGCATTAAAAAAGTTAAAAGAAACAGGTAAATTAATTTTAAGAACATATTTCATTTAACTGAAAATACCCTGAGTATTATTATTTCAACATGTCATGGACGAGATATCATACAGTTTTTTGGTTTTTTTTTTGCACGAACTCTTCAAAATCTGGTACACTTACAGCACCCACTTACGCTTCAGACAAGCCACGTTTCAAGTGCTGCTCAGACACGCGTGGCCAGGGGCTCCCATGTTGCACCCCATGATTCAGGATCCTTGACAACCAGCACCCTGGGCTAATGGAGCTGCTATTTGCTGCCTGCCTTGCATTTTCTCCTAAAAACGGAAAAAGGGGAGAGGGGGGAAAAAAGTGAGAAAAAATAATAATCTGGGTAATTAAAGATGCCAGGCGACTCGCGTCAGGTTAACGCCCAGAGTGGAGTGAATGATAACAGAGGTTCTGCTCAAGCAAGCGCCAAATAAGCAAACGTTCTTTAAATAAACAGAAATTGAGTATATTTCAGGAACTTGTTTACGCTATGGGTCACGGAGGAGGTTAAACAAGAATTTGTTTTAAAAAGTCTCCAAAGGACGGCCTCTGTGCTCCCACTGCACGTGGTTGGGGGCGGGGGAGGAGGCTCTCGGGGCTGGGAAACTGGGGTCAGGTGGAGACCGGGGCCACCGTCTGCCGTGGGCACCGCTGCTTTTGCACTCAAGCGCCGGCTTCACGTGCAGGGGTGCAGGGAGGGGTGAGATGGCGACCCGAAGGGTCCCGGGGAGCCTGGGTGTCCGGGGAGACTCCCGGCAGGCAGACGCTGCGCAGACCTTCCCGGTGTAGGTTGGAGAGGGGTTGTGTCCCACACGGGTGAGTTGTCCACTTGTGCAGTCAGCTACCCATTCATTCCTTCTGCATTCCTCCTTCCCGCACTCAGGTATCCCTTCAGTTAGTGACTCACTTGCCCATTGACTCATTCTTTCACACACTAGCTCAGGTTGGGCTCCCTGGGAAGCAGACAGGAGGCTTATGAGGGAGCATCCCGCCATCAGCACCTACAGGGCGTTGCGGAAAGAGACGTGCATCTGTGTGTGGTCTCAGTGGAGCCGCCCCCCGCCCTCCCCCCCGGGGAAGTTTCTAAGACGGATGAGCCTGCCCTGAGAAGGGGGTGTGAGGGAGGGCACAGGGTCTCATATCCACCACACACAACCTTCAACACACTCACCTACGCTTTGGTCTCTGGGCTTCCGTTGTTGGCTCTTTCGTTCATTCGCACACCGAGCGCTTTGCTGTCTTAAATCCTGCCCCCTTCCCCACCCCCAGGATCTTTGCACGACCGGTCCCCTTTCATCATTCGGGCCTCAGCTCTGAGCTCCCTGCCCCAGAGGAGCCCCTGCAAGTGGCCCTGGGGATGGTCCTTCACCCTCCACCCCTCTCTCCCTCTCCAAACCTCTCCCCTGGTTATTCTCTGCCCGCACACCATCTATCGCTCTCAGAAGTGACCCTGTTCATTTACTTACTTGCCCATTCTCCCTCCCTTCTCCACTGGAATGTAAGCTTCATGAGGGTTGGGTCTTTGTCTGAGCGTTTCTTCTTCTTAGTCACACAAAGATTTGTAGAAGGAACAAATGAATGACTCAGCAATTTGCTTATTAATTAAATCATTCATTCATTATTCATGTATCAACTCTCTTATTCATAATTAGTCAGTCCATTCATTCGTTTATTCATTTCCTCAACAGGCAGTGTTTATATCTATAAATAGGTATTAAATATACACTTGATCTTAGCCAAAAGGCCGAGAAGCGATAGGTATTATATATAAATATATACTTTTATATATTTGAATATTCAACATGTTTATATATAAATTATATATATAAAATTTAATGTGTCTGTTACATACATATATAAGTATGTGTTATAACTATAATGAACATGTATTATATATAAGTACATAACATACATTTATATATAAGTATGTAAATATATATCGCATTTACTATGAACCCAATAAAGATATTCTTAGCAACATTATTAAAAACAGCAAAAAACCCCCCAAATTATATTAAAAAATAGAATAACCTTGAGCTTAGCCAACTCTAGGGGAATTACAACACATTATGACAAAAAATGAAAAGTCCTCTTTGCAAATGACACTTTGCTATGACTTCATGGGAGCGTGATGACAAGGAACCGGGCTAATAGTCCCATGAGAAGTAGAGAGAAAGCAGGTTTGATAAAAAGGCATATCCAGTACGGTCACAGCCACGCCAAGTGTATCTGTTTTTGGGTAATGACAAGACATCCCCATGCAACAGTAAATAAAATCAGTC